AATATTTTTAAATGAATTCTGACTCTTTCAGTTGATGACGAGCGTTATCTGCGCAAGAGCCACTATAGTTTTTGTTTAAACGAGCAAACTAAATAAAACATTCAGCAGTTCCATTCCAAGTTGAAAAAGTATTTCACTACTGCATTTCTACTCTTGGGCTATATTCCTGAATGTGAGGATACATTAAAATACACTTTTTAATTTGATATGAAACATGGTAGATGGAAGACTGAAGAATTTCAGCAGTTCTTAATGTGTTAAGCAAAACTTTCATCATGTGTAGTCCTGTAATTTTTTTCAAAACATATTCGTCAATGCACAGCACTCTTCAAATTGGCTGTTTATTTTTGTTCTTTTGAAAGTTTTAACATAATTATAGTCAAGTGCTTGTGGCTCATTTGATTAAACTGATGCAGATTAACTATACAGTTACTTTTTTCAGTGCAGAACAAATTTATCCTCAATTACTTTCTACCTCATTTGGTCTCAAATGACCAAAAGAAATGCAACCTATTGACGTCATTGACTCATTTTCAACTACCCACATTGTTGATTCAAAGAATTGACATCATTATCTGTACCATTGTCTGCAACAGCTTACTGTTCCCTCTGCCAGCCAGAAAGCATGTAGTGAAAGAATAGGTTGACCCCCTTAGTACAGAAACGGTGTCCTGCCACAGTAGTGGTCATTAGAAATGACCATGTGGTAACTAGAGCAGTGTTTGAGCGTGCCTTGGGCTTTATTGTTATAAATATTTAATGTTTATTTAATAATAGGATAGTATACAATACAGAGGCAATTCACTCCATTCGTTGCAGCCATGACCACTCTACAAGAGCATCATACCCAATCTCTCTCTGCTGCCTGTTTCCTGTGGCCCTGCAATTGCTTATTGCATCAAATAATTATCCACATCTCTATTAATAGACTCAAATGCTTGATTGAATACCTCCACTTCAGTATCAAGCAGTACATTCCAAATTCATTCCATTTAAATAAAAGTGATTTTCCTGTCAACTTGAACAGTTTCTTGCAATTTACTCTATCAAGACTCAAGTTTGAACACCACTATGAAATCTCCTCTTAATATTTTTAAACTTTACTGATGCATAGAGTCGTACAGCACGGAAACAGACCCTTTGGTCCAACCAGTCCATGCCGAACATAATCCCAAACTAAACTAATCCCACCCGCCTGCTCCTGGCCCATATCCCTCCGAACCTTTCCTATTCATGTCTTCTTTTCTGTAAGGAGAACAGGATGAGCTTTCCCAAAGCATCCATTTAACTGAAGATCCTCATTGCTCGTACTATTCTTGTGAATCTTTTCTGTGTTCTCTGCTGTGTTCACATTCTTCCTAAAATGTGGTGTCCAGAACTGGACACAGTATTCCAATTGAAGTCAAACAAGTGTTTAAATGAGTGTATCATAAATTGGTTACACTATGATTTTATTTATAAAGCATAGGATTCTGTAAGTTTTATTCATTGCTTTCTCTATTTGTCCTGCACTATACCCCCAGCTCCTTTAGCTTCTCTATACTCTTTAGAATTGGACTCTTTTTTTTTTTGTTTTTTAATGCTGCTCCTTGTTCTTCCTATAAAATGAATCATTTCACACTTCATTAAATATCATCTGTCACTCATTCATCTGTTATATCATCCTACTTATATATTCTTGATTTTAGCACTGATTCCCCTTGAAGGGGAATTGTTTCACTGTTTTCTTTTCTATAATTGGGGCCACAGATTTAAGGTTAGGTGGGGATTTGAGGAAAAATGTTTTTACCTAGAGGTTTGGAACTTCTATCTAAAAGGGTGGTAGAAGCAAGAACCCTCAAGATATTTAAGAACTGTTTAGATGAATACTTGAAACACCAAGAGTACAGGCCAAGTGCTGGAAAATGGGATTAAAATAAATGGATGTTTGATGATGATCATGATACGATGAGCCAAAGGACCTCTTTCCATGCTACAAAAACTCTCGACTGCTCATGTCCTTGGTAAAGACCAATGCACATGGTACTGATTAGTACCTCAGCCATTCCCTTCCCAAGCCATCCTCCCCGCCCCACCGCAAGTTGCTTATACGGTCCTATTCCCTTTTACTATTTATGTGCAATAAAGGATTTTTCCACTCCTTTTCGTATTAGCAGCCAGTGTCATCTTAGAGTCTCTCTCTTTGATTTTCTTAGTTGATCTTTCATTTCTACTCAGACCCTCCTGTTGTAATCTGCCTAACATTTGTCCTCTTCACCATACTTCTGCTTTATTTTATTCTCTCTTCCATCATCCAGCGAGCTCTAGCATTGTTTGTTCCACCTTTCCCCCCATGTTAAAATGTACTTTGCCTGTACCTGAATTGCTATTACAGGTTTGCCTGCCAATCTTTGAATCTGGCCCAGACAAATTGGAATAGTCTCACCCTATTTGGCTGGCCTTCCTTCAATTAACTATTTTCACACTAGGTTACTTTTTAGACCATAAGATATTGGAGCAGAATTAGGCCATTTGGCGCATCAAGTCTGTCCCACCATTTGATCAAGTCTCATATGTTTCTCAATGCCACTCTTCTGCCTTTTCCCCGTAACCTTTGATCCCCTCATTAATCAGGAGCCTATCGATCACTGTCTTAAATATACTTAATGACCTGGCCCCCTCAACCTCTGTGGCAATGAGTTCCACAGATTAACCACCCTCTGGCTGAAGAAATTCTTCGTCATCACAGTTTTAAAGGATTGTCCCTTCACTCTGCAGCAATGCACTTGGGTCGTAGTCTCTCCTACCAGTGGAAACATCTTGTCCACGTCCAATCTGTCAGGACTGTCAGTATTCTGTAAGTTTCAATCAGATTCCTTCATCCTTCTAAACTCCACCAAGCACAGACCCAGAGCTTTACTGCAAGTACTCCACAATCCTAGCCTTAATAATAGTCTCTAAAATTGTTCCAACATCCTAGGTCAGGCTAACCAACCTATCGCTTTCTCTGTTCTGTCTGCCTCCCTTCTTGTTTGTTTCCATAGCCAACCTAAATCTTAGGATACCACAATCACTGTCTCATATGGACACTTGATTCACTTGACCCACTTCACTTCCAGATCAGAGCTTATTTATTGGACTGGAAGCATGCTAATGTAGAAAATTCCAGAACACAGACTTAGAATTCTTTACCCCTCTGTCTTTTACAGTATTTCTATCCCAGTCTATATTAGTACCAAGGGCCCTGTTCTAAATAAATTACATTTGGTTTTTTCATTTGTTGATATTTCCTTGTAAATGTGTTCCTTTATATCTTTCCCACCAGTTTGTGGCCAGTGGAATACACCCAGCAATATTACACGTATTGTTTCTTTTCTCTCTAAATGGATTATGGCCTTGACCCCTGTAGAATATTCTCTTTCTTTCCAGCAATGTTAAATTCCCCTTAATAGATACAGCCACTCCTTCCTTTCCCTAGCTTTTCTGGACATCTTAAATATCTTTTATTGAGACACATTTAATATCTAGTTCTGCCCTTTCTTTGAGCCTAGTATCCATTGCTGACATTTGATCATAATTCCACATGGCTAGATGCACTTTCAGCTTCTTTTTGGTGGGATTTAGAACAAAGCACAGTTTCAAAATATGGTATCTCCCATTTAAGACTGAGATGAGGAGGAATTTCTTCTGAGGGCTGGTAATCTTTGGAATTCTCTATCCCAGAAAATGCTGAAGGCTGGGTCATTGAAAATGTTCAAAATTGAGTTAAGATTTTTGATCCAGAACGGTGGTGAGGGTTTTTGGGGCAGAGAGGAAAGTAAAGTTGAGGCCAACATTATATATTCTAATATAATACTTTATTATTATTATACAGGCTGGAGGGAACAAAAAGCCTACTTTTGCTCCCACTTATGTTCTCGCTAACCTTAGTTGTCACACTCCACACATTCACATGCATGAATAAAAACCTGAAATTAGATTTTACTACAAGCCCTTTTATTCTGACCCCACCGAGTGTGATGTTATTTCCTATACTAGTGTTCTAGTAGTCTAGTGTCTGTGTAACTTGGTTTGACTCGAGAATGCTTCCTGATCCCATGTCCCTGCCAAGATTAAACCCTTTCCAATAACAGTAGCAACTCCATCTGCAAATGCATTGGTCCCAGCTCTGTTCAGGTGTAATCTGCCAGTTTGTACTGGTCCATGGTCCCTGGAACCTGTCCCAAGAATTTAAAATCCTCTCTCCTGCACCTTTTTTCCAGTCGCACATTCATCACCCCCTCACTATTGTGCTGTCTGTGCACATTCACTTTCTCTCACCATCTGTCTCATCCCCCCCAACCATCTACTGCCCCCTCAGTCTCTCTTCCCTCTACCCCCTGACATGCTCTTTATTCTCTTTTGCTCATTCCCCTAAACACAGTCTGTCTCCACTCTCTCCAGTTCTCAACCCTCTATTTCGCCCTTCTCCCTGTCTCACACTCTGTCTCTCTCACCCCCTCGCCATCTCTCTCTCTCTCTCTCTCTCTCTCTCTCTCTCTCTCTCTCTCTCTCGCTGTCCTCTCTCCCGCTGTCCTCTCTCCCCAATGCCCTTTCCCTCTTCCTTCATTGCTTTCATGCTGCCAGCACTTATTTTCTCTTGCCTCCTGTTCCGTCCCCACCCCATCGCTGATGTCTTGCTGTGTTTGCAGATTTTAGGGATAACACAGAACTCTTGGTTAATCTTCAGTTTGCTGCTTTCAATTCGTCCTATTGTTATTTTCAAGAGAATAACCCTAATGATGTCAGTAGGATTTGCTATTATTAAATAATACTTAAACTGGATTTAAAATGTTCAAATTAACTTAGAAAATATCCTTTTTTAAATTTGAAGACGTACTAAAATACATAGATCTGATTGCTGAACTTTATTGTTCAGTTCTTTGTGTTAATGGGTTTTAGTGGACTTCATTGTGGAAATTAACATACCATCATGTATGACTAGAAATGCCCTGATATTTTATTTCTCTTTATTTCCCTAGTGAATGAAATTATTGGAAGAGATATGTCACAGATTCCGACGTCTCGAACAGCAGCAGTGCATGTCCAATCACAGTGTGTCTGCCCTGGAGCTTTGGAAAGTGGAATACCTGAGGGAGTCTGATGTGACTTACGATCACCACATATTCTTCCCAAAATCAACCCTTCCTACACCCACTCTTCCCTTCCCCCCTCAACATATACCCCTCTCCAAATAAAACAGAAATTGTTGTGCTTCCAACATTGTGGCCTTTTATAAACTGCAACTCGAGTAGTTCCTGCAAAAGGTGCTGCAGTTCTGTATTGAAAGTGAATCATGCGGTGTCAGTCCTCCATCATAATGCTCTACAAATGCTGTGTCCAGTTGCCTGTGTTTCACTGGAACAGGCAAAAAAATTCCTGAAAAATCAGAAGGGACTTTAATCTACTTTAGGGATGCATTTTCGAGAAGTGACTCTCCTTTAGTAGATTAATTCAACTAGTCTACAGCATATGAATAATGTTTTATCACAAGGTGTTTGTATCTGCTGTAGTATCTATTGTAAATATTACACTCAATTTAAGCTAAAAGAGGGTTTAGTGAAGTGATATATAAATAAATGATAAACAAAATGCTGTAGCTAGTGGCATATACTGCATTCTGTCATCCTGAAGAGTGTTTAAGCATGTAGGATTTGCAGAAGACTTCCTCAAAATAAACTTCCAGACACAAGGAAGCCTATCCAGTGTAGCCAATGTCATGGAAGCATCATGTAAATATCTAACAATTTGTTGTTAATAGGAAGCAAAGCCAATATGGTACTGCATTGTTTCTGAACTTAAAACAGCATCTTGTAGATTCAATAGACCATTCCATCATGGAAAAATGTGGTCGGGGATGGGGGGTGGGAAACAACATTCCAAATTCAAGGAGTTTTTGAAACTTTGTAGATATGTTTCTCTATACTTCAAGTTAGCACAAATGCAAGCGCCTTACTAATTTAGCTTTTAGAATTTGTCAGAAGCTTTCATAGAACTGATGCATTTTGTAATAGGGCTCCAAAATAAATAACTTCTACTTTGTACAGGATTTAAGTTGAAGCCATTGAAATATAATTTAAATTACTACAGTTTGTAGAAGATTTCAAGTGTTTTGAAGTGTTTTAGTCATTCACAATAGATAAGTGACACCTGTATCTCCAGTGGCTGTCGTCATCAAGCTGTAAGTGCAAAACAGTGCATTGGGAAGAAAGCTAGTGCTTCGTTCTCAGAGCAGTACTTGTAATCTGTCTAATGATTTGGATGGTTTAGATCAGATCTACTTTGGTTTGTTTTAAAATGATTGTATTTGTGCTGACAATTCATACAGTATTGCTTTTGGTACAGTGGAAATTTAATTGGCAAACAATTTGTTTGTGTTTTTCATCCCACTCAAATCATATAGTACATAAAGGACTGGCACAAAAAGAATAATTGGAATCATTTTTATCACCTTCTTAACAGCCCCATAGCATCTCTCATCATCCACTATTTATAAAACAAAATGTAATTGCCATGGATCCGAGATGCCAATCAAATTATTTAAAATGAAAACAAGTGAAATTCAAATGATGTCTATTAGTAGGCAATTTTGCATCTGTTTCATGCAGAAAGCACACTTTGAGGCTATTTTATGAAATAGCATAAATGTATTTTAAAGAAAGAGACGGGGATGAGGTAATATAAAAGGTAAAACAAAGGGTTGCTTTTATTTTTGCCAGCATTATAAATTCTGTATTTATTTGCTTGTAATGCTAACGACTTGTTAGATGCAAAGTTAACCTGCACCATACATGAGAAATATTACAAGAACACACGAGAATGTTTAATTTTACTACCCATCACGAAAGAAAAGCGCAAGTCTTACCTTAATTCAGATTGCTGTGGGGCCAGTGAAAAGTCCTATTCATCGTTAATTGGGAGGTGTTGAGTTTTTGAGTTTAGAGTCCACCTTTTTAACTGCCAAATTACAATTATATTGTTGCTTGGTTAGGTACCATTAAAACCATTACTCTTAAGAGAAACGGTTAAGCAAGTAGATTAATTTTTTTAATGCCACTGTTGTCCAGAATAGGAAGCTCTGAGCTGAGTATCACTCATAATGTTTTTAGTACTTATGTGATAGTGAAAGGTTGAGTTGCTTTCATCTTCCTGTACTGAACCATAACCATATGTTGTTCAGGCATGTTTTCTTTCACAAGATATCTAGCACTTATTACATAACGGATTCTATAAAAGCTTAAACTGTTTCCCTGCCTTAGCTTTTGACCTTGGATGTCATAGCATGTGGGTTTGTAACAACTGCACCATCTGAGTTTTCTTTGTAAATCCTCCAGAGTGACTTATGAAGCTGTACTGTATAGTGTATGGAGGCCTGTACAACCCCCAAAAAATCCTATGCACTGAACCTCCTGATGCCTTCAAATTACCTTGACGCCTGAAGATGTAGAAAATCTAGAACTGCTTTTTAAAAATAAAATCCTTTTTTAAAAAAAAAATCAATAGCAGTAGACAACCACTTTTGTTCTATGTATCTGCTTTGTCATGGATTACGTGCAAGGGTCTTAATAAAACTGCAGTTTGTTGCTTTAAATCTTTCATAGGAGTGTAGAAATAAACAACTTTATGGAACTTTGTTTTAATTGATTGTTCTAAAAGCACAGACTTATTAGGCTATGCAAATTCAGTTTTGTAAACAGCACGTTGGGGTTTTGACCTGTTGTTGGCATGCACAAAAAGAAATAAGTTGATATTTATGGTACCCTTTGTACTACTCTGTATATTTCAAAAAAAAAGTTTCCTGACTCTTAGAATGTTTGGAAAGCTGTAAGAAAGCCTTAATTCTTATTGTGTTCAAAAACTACCAGAGAAAAAGAAATCTGTAAATGTCAATGACTGTGGTTGCATTTTAGTAAAATAAACTACATTTAAGGGTACTGGAGTATAATCACATTAGTTACAAAAAGGATGGAATAGGATTGTATAATTTGGAACTGAAACTGGCTTCAGTACAATTATGTTCATCCTTTGGAAAAACATTACTGTGTCAATGAGACTGCCATCCTTTTTATAACCAAAGAATAAAAACTTTCATTTGCTGGTGTGAACACTTGCTTTAAAACTCTATTTTTGATACTCAAAACAGATGTCATTCCTAATGGTTGAATTTGTTCAACAATTGTACGTTTTGTAGAAGGAGCAAAACTACTACAGGCTAAGTCAACTGTTTTGCAGATGTTTACAGAGCCTTGTAATTTCATGTACATTTTGTATTTTAAAATTTTGTAAGGAATTTTAAGATTGCTGTGCTGTTGAGAGACATATAATGAAATAACTTGCATCCTAGGCTCTTAAATCATAGTGTTTAAATAAAATGTAAGATGTGTAAACTTGAGTGTTTTTATTAGTTACTTAATATCTAGACAGAAGGCTTGAATGTTATCTTCCTACCTGTTTTATACTTCGCTGTTTCAAATTCAGTGTAAAATATACATATTTTTATAAGCAGAATAGGGTGGTAATGCTAACATAAATAATGTGTAAGCTACTATCTTATACGGTAATAACTCACAGTGAAGTGGATTGCCCTTGATCAAGTGGTGCAGGTGATCTCCTAAACCAGAACAATAGTTTCAGCACCTCTCTTGCTCCCTCGACTCTCTTAAACTGTCAGCCTGCTTGTCTGAAATCCAGTATGGGTACGCAGACACTTCTAACACAAAATAATGGGGAAGCTATTGTCTTCAATCCCTGTTGCAAACTCTGTGTCCTTGCCATAAACTCAGTTCTCTTGCCACTGACTCCATCCCCTTCTGTGGCAATTACAAGGTTGAGCCAGGCTAATTGCATTCTTAGTACTATATTTGACCCCAAAATGAGTCTTCTACCACATACCTGCATCATCTTTAAGACCACCTATTTCCATTTCTATAGTATTGCCTGACTCATCACAGTTTGTGGCAGAGAATTCCAAGTTCTGATCGTCCTCAAGCTAGACTTTCTCAATTGGTACTCAAATTATTTTTGCTATTTAAAGTTGCCATTTAAAGTACTTGCATTGGCTGTTAGGTTCAAAATTCATTTCACATTTCTCCATTATTACAGTCCCCATAGAGATCATTAAAATTTAAAGAGAAATTTGAGCACCTAGTGATTAACTGAAAGAACCATACGACAAGGTTTCACATTTTTAAGCAAAAGCAAACATTGTTTTAAAAAAAAATTCACAAAGCAAGCATTACGATACAATAGTTTGTCAAGACTTAAGAACCTAAAACCTCTTTTACTTCCTACATCCATCTGAATTTCATTACACATAATGAGAGCTTGAGGATTTAATCACTTTCTCTTCAATGTTCTAGCTGTTCTCCAAAGAATGAGATTTCATGGGGATTCTTCTATTGGCTTTTGGAAAGTGATCCCCATCTTCAAAACCCCACAACAGTGGGCTTCTCAGATCAAAGTAATTGCATTTGGGATTATCTACAAAAAAAAGTCTATTGTTCTTTACTGCTTCTACACTCATTGTTCCGGCTTTGGAATGACAGATTCTTTCCTGTTGTGAACTCCATCTCTGAACTGAGCTATTAACTGCCCACTTAGAGTAAAACTACAAATAAATAAACAAAGCAGTCTCCTGAACTCCCACAGCCTATCTCCATGACAACTTGGCATATTTTTGTTGTTCCACAATGAAATATAAATTAACTGTCTTTACCTTCAAAACAACCTCTATTGATTCTGTGACCCATGTAACTAATTTATCTCTCAAAACGTTAATGGCCCTCTTTGGCAGGCTTGTTGGTTCTGCTCTTGTCTCCAAATGTTTTCAGCTTCTTTTATCTGTTAAGTAATTGAATAACCCAAATCTCTTATTGACATAATTGTGGATCTCCTGTCCCTAACCAATAGCTCAAAAGTGGGTCAGTCATTGTTTAAAGTTTTCTTACCTTCAGTTCTAACTTCGCTAAAGGCAGAAAAGGCCCTGTTGGCTTGCATATTAGGATCCTAAAAGAGGTAGCTACAGAGAATAGTGGATGCGTTCGTTGTAATTCCAAAAATCGTTGGATTTGGACGAGTGCCAGAGAATTGGAAAACTGTTAAAGTGATACCCTTGCTCAAAAAGGAGGGAGGCAAAAAGCAGCTAACTGTGGGGTGATGTTGGAAAAGTATTAGAATCCATTATTAAGGAAATAATAGGAGAACATTTGGAAAATCATAATCTAATCAAGCAGCACTAGAATGGCTGCATGAAAGGGAAATTGTTTCTGATTATTAGTGTTTTTCAAGGAAGTTTCCATCAGAGTGGATAGAGAGGAACCAGTAGATGTGTTTTTGGACTTCCAGAAAGTATTCTACAAGGTATCTCATAAAAGGTTAAGTCGTAAGATAAGAGCCTGTGGTGTGGGAGGTTATATATTGGCATGGATAGAGAATTGGTTCATGGCAGGAAACAGCAAGTGCAGCTAAGGGATTGTTTTTCAGGTTGGTGATCTGTGACCAGTGGCATTCCCCAGGGATCAGTGCTAGAACCACAACTGTCTATGTATTATTGACTTAGAGGAAGAAAGTGAATGTACTGTAGCTACATGTGCAAACAACACAAAGATAGGTGGAAAGGCAGGTTGCGAAAGGGATACAGTTTACAGAGAGATATTGATAGGTTAAGTAATTGGGCAAAAAGTTGGCAAATGGAGTATAATGTGGGAAAATGTGAAGTTGTTCATCTTGGAAGGGAGAACAAAAGAACAGTATTATTTAAGTGGAGAGAAACTGCAGAAAGCTGCAACACAAAGGGACTTGGGGTTACTTGTGCACAAAACACAAAGTTAGCTGCAGGCAATCAAGATGACAGTTGCAATTATTTCAGAAGGGTTTGAGTATGAATAGGGAAGACTTACTGCAAATGTACAAGGTGCTGGTGAGACCACATCTGTAGTACCGTGAGCAGGTTTCCACCCCCCCCCCCATCACCCCCCCCCCCCCCCCCCACCTTATGTAAGAAAATACATCATTTCAGTGGAGGCAGTTCAGAGAAGGTTCACTCAGATGATCCCTGGTATGGAGAGTTTGTCTTATGAGTGAAAGCTAAAAATGTTGGGACTCTATTTACGGGGTGTTTGAAAAATGGTGATCTCATTGAAGCTGGGGATTCTTAAGGGGCTTGACAGAGTAAATGCTGAGAGGATGTTGACCATCAGGGAGAATCTAAAAGAAGGCATTGCCTCAGAATAAAGTGGTGACAATTTAACCCTGAAATGAGGAGGAATTTATTTTCTCAAAGTTGAGAGTTTTGGAACTCCTTGCCACAGAGAGCTGTTGGGTGGGAAGAGGGGGGTGGATGTTGGAGGGCAAGAGTATTTGTGTGTATTTAAAGCTGAGGCGAGATAGATTCTTCAAAAGTAGGGGAGTCAGGGGTCACAGGGAAGAGGCATGAAAGTGGATGTGGGGAATATTGAATCAGTCATGATCAAATTGAATGGCAGAGCAGGCTTGAGGGCCAAATGGCCTACCCTTGTTCCTCTTTCTTATGGTGTTATTAAATTAGCACAGCATACCCTTTAATCAGAGATAACAAGGTGTAGAGCTGGATGAGCACAGCAGGCTAAGCAGCATCAGAGGAGCAGGAAGGCTGACGTTTCGGGCCTAGACCCTCCTCCAGAAAGGTCTAGGCCGGAAACATCAGCCTTCCTGCTCTTCTGATGCTGCTTGGCCTGCTGTGTTCATCCAGCTCTACGCCTTGTTATCTCAGATTCTCCAGCATCTGCAGTTCCTACTATCTCTGATACCCTTTAATCATCCCAGATCGAGTGATCATTTCCTAAACTAAGTGTTTCAATTTATCTCCACTTGACTTTTAGTTTTAGGAATTAATGTGTTTTACTTCTAAAACACAGGAATTATTGTGTTGAAACTTGCATGCTGATTGTATTGTTTTCATGGTTCTTGTTCCAAATTAGTGTTTAAAAATTTCAATTTTATGATTATTAGTTTCAATCTGTCCAAATTAGGAATAAACAAATGACAAAATGGTTTCTGTACCTCCCATCCTGCAATGCTATCCATTTTTGTGCCACAAAAGTATATAGGTTGACATTTAACCTTTTTTCTGCCTGCCTAACACTTCTTGCTGGGAAAGTGAAGTAAATATCTGGAAGTAGTCTGTGACATCCCATGTTAGGTACAGTGAGACAGGAGACAGTAGACAGTAAAAACGGAATCTACAGAAGATGTGGTAACCCAGATAAGACCATTTTCCAAATCCACCCTGGTATTGAAAATGGTTTACTGCCCATATGTTGAAATTAAAATTAATTTGAGGATAATTTGCGTAAATTATTACCCTGTGCCCAATTTCCACTACTGGTCAGATGGTTGGAAAGAGTGTACAGAAGCAGTTTGAACAACTACATTTTCATTTTTTTCTCTCTAATTCCACAGTGACCTCTGGCTATGACTGGAAAGGTGTTTCCTGTGCAGTCATTAGGTAACATCTTATTAACTGTACTTTAGATATTTCAGCAACCTGAACTCTGTGTTACGCTCTATATTTTAAACATTTGGCCTCTGTTTTAAAGATTAGGCATTATCAAATTCAGGTCATTTCAATGAGTTTGTGAAGCACACGAGTATCTGGCAAAGGATATCTTGGTTTAAAAAAAAACAATGTCTAGAACAGTAAAGGAGATGAGTTTTTAAATGATGAGCTTGAATAGTCACACTGCTCAACTTACCACAGCTATCGTTGGGTGATTGAGAAAATGAAGCACATCTTGGTAATAGCAGAAAGAAAGGATTCAAAATCTTTTTAAAAGATTAATATGGCTTGTGTAAAATTTAAAGGTATGATACAACGGGTATCAGTATACGTGAGCCATCCAAGTTAGAGTACAATTCTAGGTTTGGTTGTAACAATAAGAAGCAGAAATCTGTCGGCACTATAAAATGTTATTGGGATATTTTAAAAAGTAAAGGATCCCCAAATTGAATTCGGAAATACTGATCGAATTGCAAAACGGTTACGATAGGCAATGGTTTTTAGCTCTAACACAACTCTACTGCCTGACCATCTTTAAAATTAATGTTTTTGGCAAATATCTGAAAGACTAATTATTCAAATCCATCACTTCCTTCGACTGCAGTGACCCTGTTGAAGAATGGGATTGAGGAAGTTCTCTTTTATATCCAAGTCTTCAAAGAAATGAAAAATATTAGAATTTTCTCATTTTCAAGTAGTGTTTTATCAAGTGAGATTCATGGCACCATGCCTTTGAGTAATTTTTCTCACATGGTCCTCTGTTCTTTACATCATGGGCATTTGAGGAATTGTGCAGCTGGAAAGACAGAATTGCTCACCACATTCCAGTGTTCACACCTTTGGTGCTGTATTTAAAA